GTTATCCACTGCCCTGCAGTAACATTACAGGGACTTCCCTTCTCTCTCGCTACAGCCGGTAAGTAACTAAGTCTCTTTGTTACAAACTTACGATTTAGTGTCCAGCGCCATCTTAAATCCAGAAATCAGGTCAGGCTCTTAAAACAAAATCTGTTTGCATCCTACGTTCCTCGGACCTTTTCAATCAAATTTTGTCTCTTCCGTTGTCATACGATGTTAAGGACGTCAGATTTTTAAGGTTACAGAGATTTGTCGCTCAACTTCGGTGGGAGCTTGAGGCATAACTGCATGGGGTTCGCAGGCCTTGCCGATGCGTCTCTCGATCCGCTGCCTCCGGGTCTTCCTCCCCAAAAAAGGAGAGGAAAAAAACCTCCAGAAGCTTGCGGACCACTCCAACGCCGCTGGTTGCGCTTCTCTCAAGGGGGCCCCCCTTGAGATTAAATTGGGGGTCGCAGTGCCTATGCGTAGCCCCTCAAAATCCCCATGTAGTCCGGAGAGGTTTTCTCCGCGCTCCCTTCCCGGTGGCGATCCAAACCGGAAGTCCTCTAGGCAGGAGTGTTCGATGCTCAGGTGGTAAGGGATCCAGTCCTGCCCCCTTTATATTATGCGATGGCAGTTCTCATCCTTTTAGAAGGCTGCAGAACCTCATGGGTTAGCAAAAAGCAAGAGGAGTCAGGAGGTTGGGGCTGAGGATTTCATTAAGGACCCCTCTACCTCCCACCACCCAAAAAAATCCAAACATTGGGGATGTTCATCCACCCCGATGAATGAATGCCTCACAACTTAGCGGTACTAAGTACATTTGATGTGGCATCAGGGAAAAAAAGGAACAGTCTGCTGCTGTCAAAGATTGCTGGCACCCAACAGCACCACCGAGGGGCAAATGCTCAAGTGAGATTGGTGATTCACTCAGGAGTGCAGTGTCCCTCTAGCCCAGCCTTTCTCAACCTGGGAGTCCCCAGATGTTGTTGGACTACAACTCCCATCACCCCTAGCTAGCAAGGCCAGAGCTCAGGGATGCTGGGAGTTGTAGTCCAACAACATCTGGGGACCCACAGGTTGAGAACTGCTGCTCTAGCCCCTTTCCAAACAGATCTCTTAGAGTGATGAGGACTAGTAACATACTATTTATTTAATTTAAAAAAAAACTATAAAAGGAAGATTCTATTACCATAATAAGTTGGAGGACCCTAGTTCTCCACTTCTGTGATGTGTATGTGAGATGTGAATGAGAATATCTGTCTACTTATGGGTAGGAGTTAAGAAGTAAAATGGAAGAGAGGATAAAAACAAGTGCTAAGGGTTGGTTATAGAGCAGAAACTTGCCTTAGAGTTGGCCTTAGAGCTCAAAACCCTGCTTCAAGCATTTGACAGCCATCTTCCTTTTTTTCGGGAGCAGGAGAGCATCAAAGGTTTGGGACTTGATGTTGAATGGGCCTCAAGCCTGTGTTGCTTCCCTGACCTTTTGCCAGCTTTGTTTTCTCATCAGAAATTGGATGAAGTCCTCCAACTCTTTAGCTGTAACATTGCTAAATAAGCAAACAACTTAGCAAAGATCTCAGTGACAGCAAGCACTGCAACGGAACTCAGCTTGAAGAAATCTTATGGGTAGGACAATAGGGATCCCATATTATTGCAATTGGATTCAGTGGGTAATAATTTGAAGTCTGTGCTATAAGAATACAGTGGTACCTCTGGTTACGTACTTAATTAGTTCCGGAGGTCCGTTCTTAACCTGAAACTGTTCTTAACCTGAAGCACCACTTTAGCTAATGGGGCCTCCTGCTGCTGCTGCGCCGCCGGAGCACGATTTCTGTTCTCACCCTGAAGCAAAGTTCTTAACCCAAGGTAATATTTCTGAGTTAGCGGAGTCTGTAACCTGAAGCGTATGTAACCTGAAGCGTATTTAACCCGAGGTACCACTGTATAAGGAAAGTCCTGCTGGCTCAGACCAAAGGTCTGTGCAGTCAAACATCCTGCTTCCCAGGTGAGAAGCCTACGATGGAGATGTGAAGGTGCCAACCCTTCATCCCACTTCCCCAGCAACTACAGAGGCATACTGCTCCATAAAGCCACTGTAGAGGCCTATCCTCCATAAATCAACCCAATCCCAGTTCAAGAACATAAGAAGAGCTGGCTGGACCAGGCCAATAGCTCGTTGAGTCCATCATCCATGTTCTCACAGTGGTCCACCTGTGGGAAACCTACAAGCAGGACCCGAGCACAACAGCACTCTCCCTTCCTGCGTCTTCCCCCAACTAATATTCAGAAGCATTACTACTTCCGACTGTGGTCACTGGAACCAATGGCTACTGCTGCAGCTTATGACACTGGACCCCATAACTGAATTATGGGATTGCGGAGCATGCCTTCTATGGACACTCTGTGAACATTGCATCCAATGCACGGAGGCGAGCTGGTTACCCCTTGAAATAGGGGCATGGGAAGCTGCCCGTGTACAGAGGCAGAGCACTGGGTCCACTTAGCTCAGCACTGTCTACAGTGATTGACAGTGGCTCTCCAAGGTTTCAGACTGAAAACCCAAAATGTTGCCAGGTAAAAGGGCATCACTTCCTTAGGTAAGGACTTTGAGGGAAACCCAGAGCTTGCCTGTTGTTACAAGAGTATACCCACATCTAGGGATGGGTGGATCTCTTAGCTTTAGCTTCTGCTTTTCCCCTTCTTCGGTTCAGTTCTCCACATTTTTGCATCAGCTTGCAATGTCTTTTGCAAGTCCTCACAAAAACGTAGAGAGTGCACATTTCCCCGAGCAATCTCCCCCTAACTCCATGCATGTTTTGTATGTTGTTCTCACTTAAGTGCATTTTTAAACACAATTGCCCCCCTAACATGAAGGTTTTTATGCACATCACTCAATGGGAAAGCTGCGTCACAAAATTCAGAGAAATGCAAGTTTCAAGCAATAGCTGTGTTTTTGGCTTGCGTTTTCTTCCGGCGAATTCGGTAGTTTCGTATTAAAAAGCAAATTGACCTGAACTTCTGCCTCAAACCAACCCGGCACGGATATTTGACACAAAATGCAGGCAGTTGCAGAAGCAACAACAATTCTCTGAGCAGGACTGCGCGGTTGGCTTCAGCCACTGTAAACGCATCCCACAAAGTATTGGGAGTGATGTTACATTGCAGGGACATTTAAATGGTGGCTAGACCTAAGCGCCTGTTGGCCCTGGGCAGGTGTCAGCACACAAAGGGCAGTGGGCCAGGGTGCCAGCTGTTGACACTGGCCCTAGATGTAGAACAAGCAGCCCTAATTGGTTGGGAGCTGCAATGGACTGCCAAGTCCTGGGACATTCCCTCTTCCCTTGACTGCTGTCTCGAGTTTTTCTGGGGGACTAGCTACTTGTTGTGGATATGAAAACCCAGAACAGAGCTTTGGGAACTTGAAAGGAGCGAAACCCACAAAGGAGACACAGCTTAAATTGGAGAAAGGGATGAGAACACAAGCATGAACACCACGCCACTTTTCTACTCTACATCCGCCTCTCCCAAATCTGCTTTTCTTATCGCTTACATATAAAGCATATGGTTCCCCCCCCCCAAAAAAATCCTGGGAACTGTAGTTTAGTAAGCATCCTGGACCTGTAGCCCCCCTGGGGGGTAAACTACAGTTACCAGGATTCTTGGGGAGCGGGGATATGCTTTAAATGTATGGCATAGATGTAAGCACAATGAGATTTAGCTAGCCCAGAGATGGGGAACTCTCCTGTGCCCCCTCCTGAAGTTCTTGGGCTCCAACTCCCATCAGATCCAGCAAACCTGGTCAATAATCAAGGATGATGGGAGTTGTAGTCCAGCAAGATCTGGAGGTCCACGGATTCTCCACGCCTGATCTAGCCCCCCGGGAAGCCTAGCTCATACTCTCCAGACTGCAGGAAATGGCAGTCTTTGTGTGTGTTTGTGAAGCTCAGTAAGTAACCTTGGGCTGCTCACTCTCTCCCAGCCTAGCCTCCCTTCAAAGGTTGTTGCGAGGATAAAATTAGGAGGGAAGAACCATTTTCACCACCTTGAGGTCCTGGGAAGAGCAGGCACATAAATAAACGATAATACCTAGATCTATACAGACAAAAAGAGGCAGGCAAATCTGTCAATCTCAGTTTCTCATTTTTCCAACCTTCAGTTCATTTTACACATACACACACACACACACACACACACACACACACACACACACGTCCTGATGAAAATTTATCAGCATTTTAGGACTAATTTCTCCAAACATACATGTTTATATGCAATTCCGCATAAGATACACATCTTTTGATGTTTGATGTCTTGTTTTTATAATGCCTAGAGTGGCATTGGAAACTTCACATGGTGCAGAATTCAGCGGCCAGGTTGCTCACCAGAGCAAGATGGTTTGAGCCTATTACACTGATCCTGGTCTGACTGCACTGGCTACCGTTTAGTTTCCGGGCCCAGTTCAAAGTGCTGGTTTTGACCTACAAAGCCTTAAATGGCTCAGGACCGCAATACCTCAAGGACCGCCTCTCCCCATATGAACCTACCCGGACCCTGAGACCATCTTCTGAGGCCCTCCTTCGTGTGCCTCCTCCTCGAGAGGTGCAGAGGGTGGCAACACGAGAACGGGGCCTTCTCTGCAGTGGCTCCCTGTCTGTGGAATGCTCTCCCCAGGGAAGTTCGCCTGGTGCCTTCATTATACACCTTTAGGCACCAGGCAAAAATGTTCCTTTTTAACCAGCCCTTTGGTTGATCTGATTTTACAACCTATGCCCTTCTAAAATGTGGTTTTTTTTTGGGGGGGAGCTATTGGGTTGTTTTTGTTTTTATTATGTAATTTGTGGTTTTATACCTTGATTTTATTCTGTGAACCACCCTGAGACCCCCAGGTATAGGGCAGTATATAAATTCTATAAATTCAATAAATAATAATAATGATGATGATGATGTATCATTTTAGAAACTGCAAATTAAGCAAGTAAACGCAAAGTGAATCGAATTCATCCCCCATCCCTTCATACCAGGGTTGGGTGGTCCTGTCACCAAACTGTCTTGGTACCACTCTTGGCGGCTGCCCCACGTGCTGTTCTGTATGTTCAGCATTCTGCTCTTCTCATACATGCCATCCACCCCCATGGAATGGAGCTGAAGGCCAGAGGGGTAGGGAGAAGGGAAGTGGGGCTGCTGGATGGATGCCCCCCACCTGGAGGGACACGAGCTGCAGGGCACACGCCCTGCCCCAGATAAACCTGAAAGACAAGAGTGAGAGAGAAACCGTTAGTCCACAGGTGCTGAATACAAAGGTTAAAGGGGGACGCAGTTACAGGGCCTAGAATTCAGGAATTCGCCCACTAAGTCTGCACTAAAGTAACCTTGGTCTCTTTCAGCTTCTGCCTTCTGGAAGAAGGTACAGGGTTATAAAGACTAGGACTAGCCACCTGAGAAACAGTTTCTATCCAAATGCGATTTTGGTTTTAAATGCAGTGTAAGGTAGTCTCTATGGGTATATATTGTATTTAATTATGGGGTATCAGAGTTTTTAGGGGGTTATCCAGGCTGGGATAGCAGGCTTGTTGGTTTTTGAATGTCTGATGTAGATTTTTTTTCAATTTCAATGTTCTGTATGGGACAATGACAATAAAGCTTATTGTATCGTACACGCACCATACATTTAAAGCACCTAATAATCCTGGGAACTGTAGTTTGTTGAGTGTGCCTGGAACTGTAGGTCTGTGGTGGTGAACTATAGTTCCCCGTATTCTTTGGGGGAAGCTACGTGCTTTAAATGTATGGTGTATACGCGGCCACGTTCAACACCTTTAACACACAGCATTTTGTACCAGGCTTCGGTGGAGTGAGCGGAAGAGACCAAGAGTGGGTCCAATGGTCAAGAAGGCATTTTCCAAGATAATAATGCCCACTCACATCACAAAGACCTCATAACCCACCTACTCTCAGCAGCCAGAAGCATCATAGCCAGACACTGGAGAGACCTGTCAGGAGTAAGCATGGACCATTGGTATCAAATAGTATGGGAAGCAGCCTTGTTAGAAAAACTAACCAATAATCTGAAACTGACATGGGGACAAATAGAAGAAGACGCCCTCACCCCGGTATGGTTCCCCTTTATCACATACAAAGTCCAACAAGACAACAACAATAATCTGCCGACAGCATATGAATCAATCTGGCTAACCTGATCCTCACAACAAATGAAACTGATCTGTAGAAAACGCAACTTGAAAAAGGAGGCAATGCACGTATTTTTGTAAACTAGGAAATCTTTAATAAAAATATATCAAAAATAAATAAAAAGAAGGCATTTCCCTAGGTGCCAGAAATCCCCAGGTGCCAGGAAAGGTTATTTATGTACACAACAACTGTGGCCTGTGTTCTGTTTGCCCCCAAATGGAAAGTGAACAAGGTCTCAACTAAAAGAGGATTGGCAACTTAAGTTGACAGAATATGCGCAACTGGCAGATGGAACATATAAAATAAGAGGGCAAGAAGAACATACATTTAAAGAAGATTGGAAAATGTTTATCGAGCATATGGAAAATAACTGTGTACAGCTGAAAACACTGGCAGCTTTAAGATAAATTAAACAGAGTAAATAATTCTTGATGGATGTAACCAGTGCTTTTATTCTGGGGGGGACACAGGGGTACGTATACTCCTAAACATTTTGTGAATCTAAGTTTGGCCTCATTGAGGGGCAGTATTTCAATATGAGTAGGAAAATGAGAGTACCCCCTAAACATTTTTTTTAGAAAAAAAAGCACTGGATGTAATAGTGGAAAACCGACTGGAATGGTTATTGTAAAATATGCAGGGATGTAAGATACGCAAAATGAACCACGGAAAGAGAAAAAGGGAAGCCATTGGATATTTTAAAGTACGTAAAATGTTTATCTGAAATTGTAAAATAGAAAAATTAATAATAATTATATCTATAAAAAAGAAGGTGTTTTCTGCATGTGCTCTGGGGGGAAGTGATGGGCAGGTGGGACTCGTCCACCTGGGAAGGTAGCCCATCTAGGAGAAGAAAATTCTGATCCTAAAGCTCCACTGCCTTGCAGGACATCTTCAGGAGAAGAAAAGGCTAAGGAGTAAACCCTAAACAAATCTAGAGTGGCGTCCCCAAGATGGTTGGTTGGTGCCTTGTATGCCTCCTTCCAGCACCTCCTGCAGCCAAGCTGGTGCCAAACGTATAGCTCTGCTTGTCTTTGGACCACATCAGTGAGCCCGAGAGGAGGGTCCTGCCTAGGACCCTCATACACACTGCCCAGCCTTGCTCCCTCAGGGAGGTCACTTTGGTGCTACTAACACAGCAGTTTGACTTCACCCTTGAGACAGACTAATGCATGGGTAAGCGAAATAAGGCCCGGGGGCCAGATGCGGCCCAATCGCCTTCTAAATCCCGTGTACAGTCCAGGAATCAGCGTGTTTTTACATGAGTAGAATGTGCCCTTTTATTTAAAATGCATCTCTGGGTTATTTGTGGGGCATAGGAATTCGTTCATTTTTCCCCCTTCAAAATAACGGCCCCCCACAAGGTCTGAGGGACAGTGGACCGGCCCCCTGCTGAAAAAGTTTGCTGACCCCTGGACTAATGCCAACAACCAGTCCCCTCCATCCCCGATGGACCGAGAGCCAGTGTGGTATAGCGGTTAGAGGGCGGATCTAGGACCTGTGGTGATCCAGGTCCAAATTCCTGGCCAGCCCTAGAGTTTGCTCACAGGGTGGCATTGGGCCTGTTCCCAGCCCTCATTCTAACCTACCTCACAGGTGAGGACAAAACGGGCAAGAAACGCCATGTATGCTGTGTCAAATGCCTCAGAAGAAAGACAGGATGCAAATGGAAAGTGTCATAATAAGGTCTCTGTTACGTCCTTTTACAGAGAAGGGAATGAGGAGGAATGAGAGCTGTTTCCCCAGAGAAGAGGGATTTGAACCCAAGATTACCAAATTCAAGTCCAGCAATAAAACCCACTTGACAACATTGGCTGCATTAAAAGAATCACCCTCGAGACTGTTCCCTGTCCTTATGTAGGGCAAATTGGTTATACAGTGGTGCCTCGGGTTAATTCGTTCCAGAGGTCCGTTCTTAACCTGAAACAGTTTACAGACTCCGCTAACCCAGGAATATTACCTCAGGTTAAGAACTTTTCCTCAGGATGAGAACAGAAATCGTGCTCCGGCGGCGCGGCAGCAGCAGGAGGCCCCATTAGCTAAAGTGGTGCTTCAGGTTAAGAACAGTTTCAGGTTAAGAACAGACCTCCGGAATGAATTAAGTTCTTAACCCGAGGTACCACTGTACTGTAAAGGTTTGAGATGCTGCTTGTCTTTCTACGCTCCGACTTTGCCGAGCTGCAGAGGATTGGTGCCTCAGGTTCTCCCTGAGCTGCTGCAAACCATCTCACTCGGAACGCCATTATGGCGTAGTGTTTCGAGTGTTGGACTAAGTCCTGCGAGACCAGAGTTCAAATCCTCACCCAGCCACCAAGCCTAACCAACCTCACAGGGTGGTCGTGTGGGTGAAATGGAGAGGGGAGAGAACCATATTTGCCACCGCGAGCTCCTTAAGGGGAAAAAAGGTGGGGTGTAAATTTAATAATAATGAATTCATTCCTTCTCAGCTGCACAAACACACACAGACACACCGGGGGGGGGGCTTACGAATATAAAGGAAACTCCCCATTTTCACAGGGTGAGCGGTCGTGTGTGAGCCCATTTCACACTCATTCTGCCCTGTTCCACCCTGCCCCGGCCCCTTCTGGCGTCGAAAACAGTGTAACTGGCCGTGCATCAAATTGGACGCACACAAAATAGTCATTGCCTAAGAGAGAGAAAGTCTTTAGGGCTGAAGGAGACTGATTTCCTTTCTGTCCTGCTGCTCAAGAGAGGGGGAAAGAAATAAAGAGTATACAGTGGTGCCTCGGGTTACATACGCTTCAGGTTACGTACGCTTCAGGTTACAAACTCCGCTTAGCCAGAAATATTACCTCGGGTTAAGAACTTTGCTTCAGGATGAGAACAGAAATCGTGCCCCCGGTGGCGCGGCGGCAGCAGGAGGCCCCATTAGCTAAAGTGGTGCTTCAGGTTAAGAACAGTTTCAGGTTAAGAACAGACCTCCGGAATGAATTAAGTACTTAAGCCGAGGTACCACTGTACTTGGTCTCTGGCAATAAAATATCTGAACTAAAAAAGACTGTATGTAGTCTTAGGCAGTGCTATTTTTCTAGAAAGCGAAGTGCCGGAACTTCACCCTGAACTCCTCCCTTGTTCTCTCATAATGGCAATGGCGCCCACCAAGGAGGTGCCAGAACTGAGTTCTGGTGAGTTCCGGCTGAATAAAAAGCCCTGGATTTGAATTATAAACTGCATACTGCCCCCCCCAACATTTCTCGAATGAAAATAGAGACATCCCATTACATAATGATAATTTATAGCCCTCCCACATCATATTGGGTAGCCCCAGCCACTCTGGGCAACTATCAACATATATAAAAACATAATAAAACATTAAACATTAAAAAAAAACCCTTCCCTATACAGGATTGCCTTCAGACAGCTCAGGGGTCAGATAATCCCATACCCTCCAACATTCCTCCAATGAAAATAGGGACGTCATAATGAAAAGCTGGACATTCTGGGATTAAATCAGAAACCGGGACAGCTTCTCTAAGTCAGGGACGTCCCTGGAAAATAGGGACACATGTAGGGTCTGAAACTGAGAATTGTGTGTCTTTCCCTCTGATTTCCTACCCTGCCCCCATTTTTATGCATGGCTACCGCATGCCAGGTTTATTAGTGGCGGGGCGCTCAAAGAGGCCACAGAGAGAGAGAGAGAGAGAGAGAGAGAGAGAGAGCAATGTGTCTCTATCCATGCACATTGCACAGCCAGAGATCTCCTCCACCGCAGGGACCTGCTCTTCTCAACATGTCAAGAGCTGCTTGCCGTGTCCTTGAAAGCAGCGGCTGCAGATGCAGACCCAGGGTGTATCAACAGGGTCTGGCTGCCCAGCCTTTTGTTCTGGCTACCCAGCACCACCTGATCCCATACCTCCGGCAGGGTCCCTTTCCATGGGCCGTGAAAGCACCCAATTCTTGCCTTTGTCAGTCCTTCGTGTCAGCCAAAGCCCCCGATATTCCTAGCACTAAAACCTCATTTGCCTCTCTCTCTCCCTCTAGGCTCTCTAGGTGATGGTGGTCCTCAGTTGCTACCCCCATTCATCCCATCCTGGTC